ATAGCTGTGGGCAGGAATCCCAGCCCAGAGAGCCCAAACTGCTGTCTCTTCTGAGCTACCAAGCCCACAGTTAATAGAATATAGAAATCCCTACTCCCACTTTTAGCAGGCTTAAAAAAAAATAAATTTAAAAACGGAGAGGTGTAGACAGAAAAGGAGTCTTACAGTGAAGCGAAAAATGAGATAATTATTTTGTTCCTAAGAACACGGAGGAGAAAACACTCAAGGCATTTATCAAGGGATATTTTGAGGCCTCTATGGTTAGCTGATAAATCTTTTGGGTGACTTTATGACAGCAAGGCCTTTAAGGTTACAAGGACAGGGCAGGGCACAACTCTGGCCTAGATCAAAGTTGCAAATTAGGGCAACTCTTTCTAAACAGGTGTTTGATGGCTTTTCAACTCCCTTGAGGATAACCTTAAAAACTATCCCAAACCTGCCCCCAAATCAGCAATGGCAAACTTTGAATTTTACAGGAAGTAAGTCAGATGCATCTTACAGAAATGAAGCAAAAAGACAATCAAGGGCTAGTGACTCTTTTGACATATTTGTCCTCACGCAAAGAGAGAGGAAAAATTTAATGAAACCAATCTGAAATACTGAATGAAACCAGACCAGGGCCCTGTCCAGCAAGCCCCTGACTGGACACAGACACGGACATGGATGTTTTTACCTCTGTGCAGAACTATGTGGTCGATCATGTTGCGTTTGTATTTGGTGTGGTAGAGACAGAGAGGGCAGCGAAGGTCTTTGGGTCCTTCCTCGGGGACTGCCGAATGCCCGGCCTCCACGTGCATAGTAAAAGCAGATCTGTGAGAGAGGAGGGAGACAATGGCAGCAGTCAGGAGGGGAGCAGTGAGGTGCCACAGCTCTCTATAAAGGGATGTGTGGTGTAAAAAGGTGCAGATGCCACTCAGCCCTGTCCGCGCGGCCCCGCGGAGGGGCTGCTCACATGAGCGACACATGAGCAGAGGAATCTGCAGGCTCCTGCCCTCAAAGCAACAAACACTTGTTGTGACAAGATATTCCACTGCATGGGCTGCTCCATATAGTCACATTGCTATAGTCAAGATAGCAAAAGAATTCCCATCCTTCATGCTCATTATCTGTCTTCAGGCTGAAACGTTCAGCGTGCTTTCTCCGGCGAAGGTTGATTTTTTTGCAAGTTGAACAAAATCTGCCAACTGTTCTGGACTTGCAGAGGGGAGGACAAACTTATTTCAGGCAGAAAACATTCTTAACCATCTTGGTCTACCCAGCTAAACTGTTCAGACTGTGGGTACCAAAAGGATTTGTGTTCACAGCAAGTTTGGCACTGAGTTGTTTAACTTTCAAAGCATCAGCTGTAATGATCTGAAAACCCAAGACTTAGAATACTCTATTTATTAGTGTGGAAGAATGAATGAATACTTCACAGTACTTCTGAACCAAAAATTTCATGCTGGCATTACGCTGGCTCCATACTTAGAAGTTGCAAGAGCTATGCATAACAGAAGAAATTAACTGTACATCCATTTGACCACAAGCCCAACTACTGAAACCAAGAGCTGTCTCTAACCTTGGGGCACTTGGTTATTATTTCCTATGGCAGTGATAAACCTTGCAAAAGCTAAGGGGCTTGACACATTGAACTAGAGTAAAAAGTGGCTTTGGACCCAATCCAGCAACCACTGAATTCTGCAGGTATATTTCTATCAACTCTGGTTACTGCTCTCATGCTTTTAAGTTTCTACAGTGTCTTGAAGAGGGGATTGGCATGTTTTGGGCTTTTTTTTTTTGCCTCTTCCTCCCCTTTTTTAAGACAGAATATACACTGCTATGAACATGTTTAAATGCTTCCTGATTTATTTCATAATACCAAGGTGAAAGAAAATTGAAAAAAACTTGGAAGACACAGACAGATTGGACCCGTAAATTTCTGGCAGTATTTAGAGACAGAGAGCAATCAGCATATTAAACATAAGCAGGAAATTTTAACATGGGAAGAGCAAAGATGAAGCAACAAAGGGTAGACCCATGTAACTAGAGGCTGCTTCCATGTGGATTCTCTCAGGTTTGTGCTTAACATTTTCTTCAACAGAACTCCTTCCCTTGATCCAGTCCTACTGTTTACTGTCACTCTTAACAAGTTTATGACCTCAAATGTCAGCTCAGGGTGTTATTCTCAAGGGCCCAGCACATCAGGAGGAAATGATGCACTGCACAGGTGCCTTTTTCTCTTTTCTTACAGAAGAGCAGCTAAAACCACAAAAAAACCCACAAACACATAAGGCGCCGAGCCTTTAAATTTAAATAATTGGATTTTCTGAAAAGTCTCTGCATGTTATCAGATATACTAGAGAATAGCACTTTTCTATCATTTAAGCTAGAAATACTGGGGGGAAAATAAAATTACATGAGGAGGGTTTCTTCAGTAAGGTGAAATAAATTCCCCTGTCACTGCTGGACACTTGATTGTCCCACGTTTCATGCTGGTTGCATGTGGAAATTACATTATTTCTGCAGACAAAATTTTCACACTTAAGGACAAAGGGATTATGAAGTGATAGTTTTTGATTCTCAGAGAATCTCAGAGAAGTAAGGAGGGGTGCAGCAGAACTGCTGCCTTGGACTTCCAGAGGTCAGACTTTGGCCTGGTTAAGGGACTGGTTGGGAAAGTGCCGTGGGAGGGCTTCCTGGAGGACAAAGGAATCCAGGAACACTGGATGTTCTCCAAGTTCTCCTAAAGGTGCAAGGGCAGATTGACTCCATGTGCCAACAGAGAGATGTGTCTGGAACTCGGGAAAAATGGAGAGTTTATGACTTTTGCAAGAAGGATTGTGCCAAGCGGACAACGGGGGTGTTGTGAACCTGTCAGCCTCAAGTTCCAACAGAGAAGATCTGGATTGGATGTAAGGAAAAATTTCTTCCCAGAAAGGGTTGTCAGGCAGGGGAACAGGCTGCCCAGGGAACTGGCTGAGTCACCACCCCTGGGGGGATTTAGAAGATATGCAGATGTGTCACTGAGATTTGACTGGGCTTGGCAGTGCTGGGTTAATGGTTAACTCCATGATCTTAAGGGTCTTTTCCATCCTCAACAACTCCATGATTCCGAAACCTACTGCAACTGTGCTGCTGTCTGCAGCAGATGGTACTGGCTGTTGCAGGAGAGAAGAAAATGGATTACATGGATGCTGCTGTGATCTGGCATGGCATTTCCTACACTCCTCTCCCTGGTCAGCAGTGGCCATGTTCCTGTTAGCCATCAAAGACCTCAGAAGTCTTTTTAAGCGCTGAAAAAAAAAACCCTTACAAGTTCAGTTCATCTGTTTAGCACAGTACTTACTTAAAGCCTGTGTAAAAGGAACAATCTTTGCACTTGAAGAGCTTCTTCCCTCCGTGCTTGTCGCGGTAGTGGCGCCGGATGCTCTGTATGTAACCCGAGGAGAATTCGCAAAATTCACAGTTAAGGATGGCTTCCGCTTTTTCCACTCCTGCAGCACTCCCAGAAAGTGGGATTGGGCTGATGTTGTTGTTGTTCCTGGCCAAAGCTGCAGACTGGTAGTGGTTCAACTGCTGCTGAACATCAGGAGGCTCCGAGTATGAAGAGTCTGCAGGGAAACAGAGTGGAGTTGTTATTCCAGGTGGATCAACAAATCTAAAAAAGGGTTGATGATGCCTGCTCCAGAACCTACTGCCTTTTGGAGGGGGTTGGTCAAGCTGTTGGTTATGAAACTAATCCTGCTTTCTGAAGGGATTAAGAGGTGCGGCACTTCTTAATCTAATTTAATGTGAATTCTACAATTTATAAGGTGAGAAATATAAATGACGCTTTTTTAGATCTGATTCAGGGAGAAAATGAGTGACACATTTAAATTAGAGTAGTCTAAAAAAGAAGCCTGGTTGTAAGACACTTAATTTTTGAAGGTAAAGCCCTTTAATCATACTGCCAAATGTTTTATGTGTTTGGCACATAAATCAGACCAGATCCTCTCAAATATCTTATGCCAGTTCACACAAGGTGAAGATCTGGCACAGGGTACATGTAAATAATCTATCTATATGGAAAAAAAAAAAAAAAGAAGAAAAGAAGAAAAAAAAAATGGATACTCTCCCTACTCATGCTGATGATGTTAGAAATTAAATCATCATTGGAAAAAAAAAAGATGTTTAATCATAAATTCCAGTAAAGGAAACTTTCAAACTGCTGCTTTGCCATACTGAGAAAAGAGATCTCTAAAGACACATCCCTTCTACAAGCCAGCAGAACTCTGCCAGACCATTTTAATGGCATGTGGAGGAGCAGAGTCCAGAGATGTCTCAGTACTGAAACTGAAAGCTGCAATATGTTGGTTGGACACCCCAAAAAAGGAGAGTGGGGGGAGGGAGGGTGGTGTTGAACCTTTCCCAACGCACTGCTTGAATGTGGAGGTTAGGAATTCATCTGCTTTGTTCTACATAACCCACAGCTGCCCATGAATGGCACAAATCAAAGCAGATGAATAAAGCACAGATGAATTTCAGTGCAATTTTCCTGAACAGAAGACAAAAGGCTCTTTTCCTAAGCTTTCTAGAAGGGGGAAGAAAAGCTAGGAGAGGGGGGGAGGTGGGAGGGAAGTCAGGACACAAACTGTACCAGCCACCTCCTGCTTTGATGTGTACTTCATTTTCCAAAGCTGAATTCCCCAAGGCTAGATATATAAGAATTCCCTAACAGACACACATTTGTGGGAACCTAACACCATCCATTCCAACCAATTAGTGTGGGGAAACAAAAGGCAAACAGGCCTATACAACACTGAGTGTGGGGACTTCTCCACCTGTCTTCAAAAGAGCAAAATGCTTGCTTTCTTTTCCCACTGACACAGGCGGGGGTTACACATGCCCAAGAAATGAGTAACAAATAATGACAATAAAAAAACCCAAACCAAAGCCCGAAACAGAATAGACACAGCAGGTAAACGTCTCCAGGCTCCCCTGGCTTCACCACCAGGTGTACACAGCAAAGAGAAAGGCAGAGACACGAAAGATTCTGGTAAAATGAATGAAATTTGGGGTTGTTTTTCTCATCCAAGCCCCATCAGCTGAGTGAGGCTGGGTCACAAGGCAGCATTTATCATCCCTTGCTTCCACCACTTCCACAGCACGTTTGTGCACCAGGAGGGCTCACAGTGAGCTCCACCTGTTTAAATGTCAAGGCTTTCCTTCCCTCGTGTTTGAAGCAGGCTCCCCACATCCTTTACTTTGGCACAGGACAGCCCTGAGGAACTGCAAACCCTCTGCAGAAAAGCCTCTCTTCTCTCAAAGGCAGCAACTATGTGCTCACCCTCCTTTGGAACAGAACCTTCAGGGCTCAGAGGGGATTTGCTGACTCACTTCTCTGGGCTACCAGGTTCAGTGGTTCTAAAAGCTCAAAACACAGTTAGACAGATCTCCTGGCAAGGGTAAGGCAGCCTAAAAAGAAAATTCATAGCATTTGAAACAGGTTTTTTTTTGTTTGTTTATTTTTTCTCTTTTTTTCTTTTTTTTAATGTGTATCAGTCAAATCACTCTTGTATTGAAGTCTACTTTGTGGCTCACTTGTTCCCCTCCCCAGGAAGAAAGGATCAAAAATTTCCACCACATCACCAATGTTCCTGGCCAAAGTCCCAGAGATATCCATGGCTAAGAAAGCTACAGGTCTAAAAACCATTCTTTTCAGGAGAAGGAAGCCCTGCTGTTGTCTGCAAGATCTACTGTACTTCAGATGTTTTTACTCCTCCTATCATCTGGTGTCTATTATTCCAGCTTTCGGACTTTCCATCAGTTATTTACACAGTGGAATCTGGTATGTGAAAACTGCAGAAGCAGATAGTTCCATATCAATTCCCACACACAAAACCAGAAAAAAAAGCACATCAAGCAGCTTTCCCTGTCGTCCTCAATAGCCAGAAGAAAATTCTACCTCTCACACAGGCCCCCTCGCAGTTTTTCAGTATATTGCTTCATTACACTTAAAAAGAGTTATGACATTTAAAGGAATTTTAAAAAGCCACCTGAAGAGTTTTTCCAGTGGGTTGTGCCATTGAACAATGGCAGCATGCAGGGCCTGGTGTACTCCTTGCCTTTTCCCTTGCCAAATTCTTTCATTACACTTGCTGCAGCGCGAGATTTAGCACTTCCTGAAGGAAAACGCTCAGGATTAACACGTGTGCATAGGGCTTCTGTTGGTGCCTGAGAACCAGCCTGCCAGACAGCTCTCCTGGCACGAAGGTGCAGCCCAGCTCGACCAGGAACACCCTGGACAGAGCCCAAAGTTGACTGAAAGCACGGGAAGTTTTTCCACTGGGTTTCACTGGCCTCACCTTCATCGTGCCCACTCCAACACCTGACCTGAGCTTGCCTCCAAAGATGCTTTCTGGCACACAGCAAATGAGAAACAGTGGATGGGGGTGAGCTTTTGGGTATTTTTTTTTTTAATTTATTTTTTCAAAAGCAGTGTCTTAGAGAAGGGCCAGGGGATGCATATCCACAGTCACAGAGCACTGCTTTAAAAACTGCATTTTTCCTTGCTCTATTCCTGCTGGAAGAGTGGGTTGATGCTCCAGACACTTTCTGGAGGTGCTGCCCCAACAACAGGATGCCAGGCTGGAGGATGAAGGAAGAAAGGAGCAGAGCTTTTCCTCCAGAACTGACCCAAAAACTGAGTCATGGACGTACACAATGCAAGTTCCACCTCTTCTTTTTCCTGCACCCCCAAGCACAAAGGGCTGGGTGCACTCTGATAAGATGCTAACAGCCTTGGCCTACAGCAGGAAGAGGGTTTAGCCATCCATGTCTGAAAAAAGTAAAGAAGGCCCTAAAAGCCTACGAAATCAGAAAGCAGAAAACATTTAAAATAAGCAAAAGGAAGATGTAAGAAAATTTGCATTAAATACATGTAAAACACAGCAGCAGTGAATAAACACGAATGGAAGGGAAATTAAGAAAAATGAAGCACCAGGAAGTACTATTTACATTTTAAGGAAAAAGGCACTTTTTTCCCCCCCCCCACTCAACAGCCTTGAGGTAGCACAAGAAAATAAAGCACATTCATATATGCACTGAAAGGGAAGAAAATGGAACACTTAGCCCTGACTCATTTGAAACAATCAAACAAACAAAAAAAAGCCCACAACCAAAACACTGAGACTCCTTTTTAAAGACCAATTTTATTCAAAACGAATGGAAGGACTTCACTGTGCAACTCCAAAAACAAGATAACAGCATAGGATGATCTGAGATAAAATGAAGGACACCTACAGTCGTGTCAAGAGGCAAAAATTAACAGTGATTGCTGCAGTTAAAAATGGAAAGAACAGCGGCAACGCTGCGAATCTCAATTTTGAGATTTTACATATGGCATCTACCTACAAATTACCTGCACAGGACAAATAACAAGGCCAAAAAATAATGTAACCACTGCCAAAACCTATGGATCTAAAAGGCATTATCTTCCCTTAGTACAGAAGAGAGTTTTTATACCCAAAATTCCAGAAGTTGAAAGGAAAGCAGGAGAAATTATTGCCCATGTGGTGATTTATCAGCACAGCTGTATCTAAATTACTGCTGCATCCCGGTAAGAGCAGACAAGGAAGTCTCACTGTGTCCCTGCAGGGGCATTTCCAGAAAGCTTAGAACATTAAAATCCCTGGTCAGGAATGCTGTCACCCCGAAAACTTCATTCAGAGTACAGTCCCAAAGACTGGGACAAATGAGTCTGCCAACAAATCTGGAAGTTACTGCCTCAGCCAAAAGAGCAAGGCAATACAGTCATGAAAATTCAGCTTGATTCCTTGCATACCCCAGGGTCGCACACTGGGGAAAAAATGTACAAAGAAAATATACAATGAAAACCCACCACAGAAGGAAAATGAAAACCCAAAGTTTCATTGGATCCTTTGTAGCATACAACATGTTTGAGATACCCAAACTAAAACAAAACTTTGGGATCCTTCCAGGTGAAAAAAATGCAGTTTCAGATCCTGAACTGAAAACATAAATTTACACAAAAATTCAGTGATGTTTCAGCTGTTTCTAGGCATTTTCAGAGGTATCAATGAACACCATATGGAACAGCAAAACACTTCCACAAGACTCCTAAACCCAACAACAAGAGGCCAGAAATTCACCCAGACACGTCTAAGCAAGAGACACTGAGCAACAGCTGAGAAACAAGAGGGAAAAAGACAAGAGGGAGGAAATTAAAGCACTGCTCTATCCTTTTAGGGTGGACAGAACCAGACACATGTAATATAAACACTTTCATGCCTGCACAGTGATGGATAGGGGCGGAGGGAGGAACACTGCTCAGGAAAACCAGCTGTTGGAGTGCACTGGAAAGTGACGTTATTGGCTTTACAGAATTTTAATAATTTAACAGCTCAAGGACCAGGAGGAGTCACTGGGAGATAAAAGTGAAGACACCATCATCTCCTGGTGTATTCACACGGAAACATCAACCAGTCAAAAGAGACCAATATTTGTAAGAACAGCAAAATTGGGGACAGAGATGTTTGGCTCATGAGATAAGGAAAAAACCCAAAGGGAATGTATAAATAAAAGAAAGAGCTTAGTAACACTTTGTGAGGGA